GATTTGCGGAAATTTGTCCGCCACTTTCGAAGGCTGTCTGGGGGTCCTGCGGAGGTGAGGCACCGCGCGAGCTTGAGCAGGACCTCGCCGTCCCTGGGGTGGCTGCGATCTGCGAAACCGTCGCCACTTTCGAGGGCTGCTGGTGGGTCCTGCGGGGTGAGGCACCGCGCGGACCTGAGCGGGACCTCGCCGTCCTGGGGGCTGCGATCTGCGAAACCGTCGCCACTCTCGATGGATGCTGGTGGGTCCTGCGGAGTGAGGCACCGCGCGGACCTGAGCAGGACCTCGCCCCAACCCTCTGGGGGGGCTGCGATATGCGAAATGTCGTCATGTTCGAGGGCTGCTGGTGGTTCCTGCGGAATGAGGCACCGCGCGGGCCTGAGCGGGACCTCGCCGTCTTTGGGGGGCTGCGATCTGCGAAATTGTCGCCACGTTCGAGGGCTGCTGGTGGGTCCTGCGGGGTGAGGCACCGCGCGGATCTGAGCGGGACCTCGCCGTCATTGGGGGGCTGCGATCTGCGAAATTGTCGCCACTTTCGAGGGCTGCTGGTGGGTCCTACGGTGCGAGGCACCAGGCAGATCTGAGCGGGACATCGCAATCCCTCTGGGGGGGTTGCGAGCCTCACGAATGCCGCTTGCAGAAGTATATGCGCCCATGTCACGTCATCACCTCCGTACAACGTCTCCCAAGCTACTCATGCCCCGCATTGCGCGGGGGTTGGGTACGTCGCCAGGGTAGTTTTTTTTGTTGTTGTTCTCTCTCGCTCTCTCTATTTATCCCCCCCTCTTTCTATCCGTAGCGATTTTGGCCCCAGTGTCTGCGTTAGTTGCTGAGGACATTGTCTTACTAGCACGCTGCAGTCAGAGGTGCACGACTGCCTTGAGTCCGTGGTCGTTCAGGTTGGGTGGCACTGCAAAGGACTTGCCGTGCTCGTCCAGAAAACCAGCAGTTTGACGATTGATGGCGGACGAAACAATTCCTGCAAGCAAGCGAGCACGCATGGGCGATGATGGTTCGATTGATCCTCGGCCAGCAACTGCCGACGACTTCGAAGCTGTAGCCACATTATTCCGTGGAGTCCTCCCGAATGCTGATTACACGGTGACGCACCCTGTATTTCGAAAGGTTGAAGAGGCTTTCGTGGAGTGGAAGCTGGACTCTGGTCAAGGTGGCGATATGCATTCGTTTTTCGAGGACCCGAAGGACAGGGTCCTGTACGTAGTGGAACGAAGTGGTCATATTGTTGCCATGAGCGGGGTGATAATGGGAGAAGGTCCTCATGCCGAGCTTGTCAGAATGCAAGTCCTGCCAGAGCACCAGGGGCAAGGGATCGGTCAGGTACTGCTTCACAAATGTGAGACCTGGGCTCGTGAAATGGGTGCTGTCAACATGGTGCTTGACACGTGGGTCATAAACGAAACGGCACAAGGCTTCTACGAGAGGAGCGGTTACAAAAAATCCCGAGTCATCAAATTTGAGTTCGCAGAGCGCTTCGAAACACTGGGGCTGGACAAGGTGAACGGCTTGTCGATCGACGATCTCAAGAGCTGGGAGATGACAAAGGCCTTGGAGTGATAAGACATGGTCGCGATTGAACCTGAATTTCTGAGCAACTGCTTTTATTGGACACCCTACAGCTGCTCTGGCGCTTTTGCGCTTGCTGCATTTCCTTGGGGAATTAGGCTTACGCTCCCGCCGCAGCGCCCCCCCCCCCAACGACAACAACAGCAACACCAACAGCAACAACAACAACATCACCAACAACAACATCAGCAACGACGACAACGACAACGACAATGACAACATCAACAACAACAACAATACAACAACAACAACTACAGCAACAGCAACAACAGCATCAACAACAACATCAGCAACGACGACAACGACAACGACAATGACAACATCAACAACGACAACGACAACAACAACAGCAACAACAACACAACGACAACGGCACCGCCACCAAAACAACAGCAACGCCGCTGCCGCTCGACACGCCCTCCTTCTCTGCCAGGGACCGGGGCTCTTGCTCGCCGCCGAAGGCCCGCTGTCCCACGGCACCGGCCCTCTCCTCCTCCTCCTCCTCCTCCTCCTCCTCCTCCTCCTCCTCCTCCTCCTCCTCCTCGGGACCGGGGCTCTTGCTCGCCGCCGAAGGCCCGCTCTCCCACAGCACCGGCCCTCTCCTCCTCCCTCCTCCTCCTCCTCCTCCTCCTCCTCCTCCTCCTCCTCCTCCTCCTCCTCCTTCCATCCTCCTCCCTCCCTCCTCCCCTCCTTCTCCTCCTCCTCCTCGTTCGATATTCCCCTGCTTTTGTTTTTTTATCAGGGCCGGCGCCCCCGCCTCGGCGCCCGCAGACGGCCCGCCTGCAGGCAATGGCGCTCTCCCGCTCGATACGGCCCCCTGCGATTTGAGTCAGGACTCCCAGAGGGGCCGCCTCTGCCTTGATTCAAGGCTCCCAGAACCCAGACATCGGGCGTCTCGAAAAAATCGGGACGGAGGCTTTTCGTCGTTGTCGGCCTCTCGGGGCCCTCGCCGGGCCTCGGGACCGTCAAGAAACGACTCGGTATGAAAAACCGGTCCCGGGGAAGTGGTCGGGAGGTCGGGGGCCCGTGTCTCGAACAAATCGAGACGTCGGATGTCTGGGAAGCCCTGAGGCTTCACTCAGTCCCTGTTGAACCTCCAGTCTTGAAAAATGATCGAAGGCGCCTATGCGGCGAATCACCGCCGCCCCCTGCCTGCTAGAGTCGCCATTTTGTGGCCGAGCGTTGTGGCAAGAGCTCTGCCAAGCTATCGGACCATGTGTTCCCCCAGCCGTTCTCCATTGTCAACATCGATGGTCAGCAGCCCCTCAATCGACGATCCATCGTCCCAGTATTGTCGCTCGCAGCCAACGGTCTTGTGGGCGCTTGGCACTTGTACAATGCCAGCGCCACGCCCATGGTTATTCTGATGTGCTTGGTGTTCCTTCCGCTCTCGTTCTCTTGCAAGGGCACCTTCGTCAAGATGGAACGCAAAACCAAGTGAAGTCGTGTGTTGGAGAAGAGAGAGAAAGAGAGGTAGAGAACCATTACACACAAGTTGTGGAGGACATTATGTATAATATGTTTTACATACGTATTGTGAACTCCCTGTCGTACTTGTCCTGGGAGGGGCGACAACAATTAGACTGTGGACTGGTAGCGCACGACGCTCGCATTTGTCCTCGCCGTTTTTTTTTGCCGTTCCGAGCTTCACACAGATTGTTGATATGGGGTACGGCCGACATGTTCGGTGTGGCAAGGCGACGGGCTTCTGCTCTGCAAGGTGCCGCTATGTGCGGTCGTGCTTTTATAGCTGTTAGCCAGGTGGCTATACAGGACGCCGCCAGGTACGGTCGAGAGTTGCAGGCTCGTTGCTTGAATAGTTGGGCTGCTTGATCCTATATGAGCGTGTCATTCGAAAAAAAATGTGTTCCCCCAGCCGGTGTGGAAACCCTTCGGGCAACACTTGGGGGGGGATTGCGGGGAAGATCAGGAGGAGGCGGAGGAGGAGGTGGAGGAGGAGACGGAAGTGGAGGAGAAGCTTCTGGGGACACTTTCGGGGCCTCCTGGGAGCTTCGTGGGAGCTTCTTGGAGGCATCTTGGGGGCCCTCTTGGATGCCTCTTGGGGGCCTTGGGGGGCTTCTCGGAGGCCTCTTTGGCCGTCTTGGTGGGCTCCTGGTCCGTCTGACGCCGTCGGAAGCTGCACTGGGGGCCTCTCTGGGCCGGCTTGGGGCCCTCTTGGGGTGCTCCAGGGCCGTCTTGGAGGCCATCTTGGGCGTCTTGGAGGTCTCTTTGGCCGTCTTAAAGACGGCCCAAGAGGGCCCAAGGTTTGGGCCCTCTTGGGCCCGTCTCGGGGCCGTTCTGGGGTCATCCTGGAGGCCTCTTGGGCGATCTTGGGGCGATCTTTGGGGGCTCTTGGGCCGTCTCGGGCCGTCTGTAGGCCTACGCCTGAAGACCCCAAGAGGGCGGCGAATATTATCAAGGGGCCGGTTCGATGCCGCCCCGCAGTGGGAGGTCCCGCCTCCTTTCCCCTCGTTGGAGAGGCTGGTGTCCAGTGGGTGGGGGGGAGGTGGCGGTACCCTGGTCTCTGTGGGCGCGTCAAGTATTCTTTCGGGCGGGGCCGGCTCTGACATGTCCATGGGTTTTTTACTTAGCAGGCGTCCACGACACGCGTTCTCTCTCTCTCTCTCCCTTTTTTTGTTTTGTTTTTTCTCTCTCTCTCTCTCTCTCTCTCTCTCTCTCGCACACACATTACGTACATACGTACACACACGTGTGTATGTGTCGCAGGACCAAGGGGCACGCGGCTAAGACCAGGAAGGCGAGGACTCCGGGGCTTGACGGAGCTGGGAACGCCGGGCCCGGACCTGCAGGGGCAACCCGGGAGGCGGGCCGCGCCCACCGAGGTCGGTGCGGAGCCAGGAATCCCGGAAGCCAGAAGCCTGGAACCCGTGAGCCCCGCCGCCCCCCGAGATCTCGGGGGCGGAAAAGAGGGGGGTGATGACCAGGGGGGGTGGATATCATGGCGGGGGCCATGATATCTCCCCAGATCTCGTGGCGCCTCTTCTCATTTCACTACGTCCCTGGCCCCCCCGCTGGGCCGCGCACATGCCGCCGGTCATGATTTGCACCCCCCCCTCTTGGACACCCCCCTCTTGGCCGCTCCCGAAGATCGGCCCGACCCTGTGGCCGTCTCTTCCAGCTTGCGCAAGGGGCCCCTGCAGTGCCAGCGCCGAAGGGGGGGCAGCACGGCTGGCCAGGGAGCAGAAAGGGGGGTCCGGCGGGAGACGCGCCCCCAGCGTAGTTAGAGACCCCCAGGGGCTTTCCCCAGGACTGGCTCTTCGTCCTGGCTCGCTGTTGTCGGCGGTCCCCGGGCCCCTGGAGGGCCTCCAGGGGCCCGAGGAGGACGGAAAATGATTTTCCAGGACCCGCTTCCTCCAGGCCGAGCGGCGTGTGGGAGAGGCGGGGCTCCCCCAGAGGTGTCCGCCGCGCAGTGGCTCGACGGCACGGTCCAGGAGGCGGCAGCACCCTCCTCCTCCCGCACCGCAGCCCCCCCCCCGCTGCCCGAGGGGTGCCAGTGGTTCGCTGTCGCCGAAGACGCAGATGGCGGCGACGACGGAGATGTTGCTGACGGCGACGACGGCGGCGGCCGCGGCGGCGACTACGCTGTCGGCGGCAGCGGAAGCGTCAGCGACGACACGGCGGCGGCGATAGGGGCGGTGGCGAAAGCGGCCGCTGCGAAAGCAGCCGCGACCGCTGCCGCTTGTTAGGTTCTTGCCCTCGTATATTGAGGTGGGCGCGGTGTTCTTAGTGTGACGCCTTCGCCTCCTCCTCCTCCTCCTCCTCCTCCTCCTCCTCACACGTCACGTACTTAGACATCCACTGACACTCATGGTCAGACCACGCGCGCAGACTCATCCACGCTTGGACTCACTCACGCTCAGACTCGTCCACTCTCAGACTCACTCACATCCAGACCCACTCCCACTCAGACTCACTCATACACTGACTCGCTCACACACAGACTCACTCACACAGCTCATCTCCGTTGCGCGGTTCTCCACCCTCAGACACTCGTACTTCGACGGCTCACAGCTAGACTCACTCACACACAGACAACTCATACGCATATACGCATATATACACGCTACTCGCAGTAACTTATCACTCCGATAATCGCTTACAATCATACTCACTGACCTCGGATCCACCCATATTCATTTTCACTCAGACTCGGAGGTTGTGAGGATATCTCGAGCGAGGCGCTGGCTACTTCAGCACCCCAAGGAGGACCTGCCAGGGGTGCTTGCATGACTCCGTTCGTGGCCAGACTATTGGGATGCCTCAGGCCGTTTGCTCGTCTGGCGGCGCAGACCTTTCATTTCTAAGAGTCTCAGGCTTTCAGCGATCAAGCAGGCGTGGCATTCGGGAACACCAAGCACGAGTCGCCAGGGGTGTTTCTAGTCTCCGTTCGCGGCCAGATTGTGGGGATGCCGCCCATTGGTTTGCTTGTTTGGTGGGCCAGACCCCTTCTTTGTTGAGAGCCCCATTGTCGCCTCCGCGTAGCAGGCGTGGCATTCCTAGCGGGGAGCCGCCAGTGATATTTCCATTTTCTGTTTGCAAGCACTTGTTTGGGATGTATGTGGCGGCTTCCTTGTTGGGTGGCGCAGACGTTTCTCTCCTGAGGGCCTCATGCCCACAGCAATACAGCAGGCGTGGCCTTTGGGCACACCAAGGAGGAGCCGCCAGGGATTTTTGATTGTTCCCGTTCGCAGCCCTGTCGCGTGGATGTTTTCGGCGGTTTGATCTTTTGGTGGCGCCGGCTTTTTTGAGTTTGAAGGCGCCGCGACGTAGCAGGCGTGGCACTTGGGCATCCCAACGGGGAGCCGCCAGGGGCTGTTTTTCCTTAACTCAAGGACGGGCTCCGAGGATGTCTCTGGTGGTTTGCTCGCCTCGTGGCTCAGACCCATCTGTTTTCAGGGCCCCGTGATCGCCGAGGCATGTCCGGCGTGGCACTTGGGCACCCCCCGGGGAGGAGCCGCCAGAGAGAGAGAGAGGTTAGCCCGCTCCGGTTGCGGGGATGTCGCAGGCGGGTTTGCTTGTGGTGGCCCAGACCTCTCTCCGTTGAGAGCCACACGGTCCCCGCGGCGACATAGGAGGCGTGGGAGTCAGGCACCCCCAGGGGGAGCCGCCAGTGAGGGGAACATGTGTTGCGCGTTCGCGCCCAGGCTGGGGATTGCGCGGAGGTCCCGGGCGGATCGCTCGTTTGGCGTTCTCGAGTCTTCGCTTTGGCACATAGCAGGCGTATCATTTGGGCCCCCCCATGGAAGAGCTGCCAAGGGGTGTTGCACTTGCCTCTCGAACCGAGTTTGTGGGGATGCGCCGAGCGGTTCGCTGGCTTGTACACCCCATGGCTCCTCCCCGCTCAGGGTCCCATGACCGCAGCGATGTAGCAGGCATAGAACTGTTGCATCGATGTTTTGTTATTGCGTGTGTGTGTGTGTCTGTGTGTTTGTGCAAGAGAGGTGGGGGGGGGGGGGGCGCCAGGGGGTGTTACACTTGCAAGTTCGCGCCCAGGTCATGAGACCTCTCAGGCGAAACGCTGGTTTGGGCACCGTCGACCCCTTTCTTTGCAGAGTCGCAAGATAATCCCTTGGGCACTCCATGGGGGAGCCGCCAGGGAGCTCTCAGTCGCCACAGGCTACACTTATCGCATTTAGACGCTCACAGGCGAAAGTGCCAGTAGCTGAGCTGCACATGTGAGCATCCCCGTGTCGAGCAGTTAAGTTTGAGTATATGTGTGAATACCAGCCAGCGCGGACTTCGAATATACCAGCACAGGTTCAACCAGGTGCGCGCGCAGCTGGCATCAGGCCAGGGCGGCCAGGCCCATTTTTGTGTTGGGCACTGTAGCCCGACCAGTACGACAGTTCGGCACAACACGGCGTAACTAACGCGCCAGGCTGAACCAACACAGGC